CCGAGACGGCGGGTGGAGGGGGCCGGGACCACGCGCTGGCGGCGGAGGGATCCCCCGACCCTTCCCCCCATATAAAGAGATACAATGTTTCCTTTTATGGCGAGGCCGCTCCTTATATGGTGAGCCCCAGCGCCCCCGCCCCATTGGTCCATGGTTCCGGCACCTCCGCTCCCCATTGGCCCGCAGGGGAGCGCTTATTTGCATAGACATACCGAACTCGTTCCTGTCCTCTCGCGTCAGACCGCGACTCCGAGAGGGGTGGAGCCGACGCCTCTTAAAGGAACCGGAGAGCAGGCGCGACTCCGCCTCCCTGAACCCGAGAATGATAGAACGGTTTGGGAGGCACCCGCGGAGAAGTAGCCTGGGACTGGAGCGCAGTCTTGCGGAAGAGAGGGAGCAGCACTAGGAAATGGGCTCCAGCACCGGGACCGCTGGAGACAAACACTGGGGAAACCCCTGGGTGGATTGTGGGGTTTGCAGTCAATTAAAAAAATACAGCCCAGATTCCAAGGGAGGAGTGCAGGGATTGATTGGAGCATTTCCTCACGCCTTCCTAAGGGAGGCACAGTTATTGGCTGAGCGGAGGGAGCTTGCATCCCCGGTGTCCAGACTCGTAGCACCCCAGCCGCTCAGCTCTAACTTTTCCCCTCCCCCCAACTTCCCCTCCCTTTCCCTTGCTTTTGTAGGCGACGACACTTTCCCACCAGGCTGGCTCGCGGGTCCTCATTCATCATCCTCTGCACTGGGGGGGTCTTTGGCAGACATACATCTGGAAAAGGCGGGTGGAGGGGAGGGCGAGAGACAGAGATCGGTCTCCCAGTCCCGAGGCGGGCAGGGAGGAGAAACGGAGATCATTGAAGACTTCCAGCTGCAGGCTGGGCTGGGGGAGGGGGGCGTCCCGAGGATAAAGCCCACCCTACTGCCAGTGCAAAGACGGGAAATTGTGGCCCGACAGAAAGTTTAAGCAAGCAAGCACGCTCACGCACACACACGCACCTACACACCCTTCTCTGGAAAGCCCGTTGGAGAAAGAAAAAAAAAGTTTCAGACAGGGTATCGCTCAGTCGCCCAACCTGGAGTGCAGTGGTATGATCTGAGCTCATTGCAACCTCCGCCTCCCGGGTTCAAGCGATTCTCCCACCTCCGCCTCTCACGTAGCTGGGACTACAGGTGCGCGCCACCACTCGGGCCTGATTTTTGTATTTTTTGTAGAGATGGGGTTTTGCCATGTTGCCCAGACTGGTCTCGAACTCCTGGCATCAAGCTATCCTTCACCCTCGGCTTCCCAAAGTGCCGGGATTATAGGCATGAACCACTGTGCCTTGCAGAAAAAAAAAAATTACTTAAAGAATAGAACTGGGGTGCTGCAAAGTGAGGTTCAAGCTCTGGGTCTGGATCTTTTCTCCAAAGCAGTGAAAATAGCATGGACTTTGCTGTTACCGAATTATTTAAATCTGGAATCTGCCTCTTGGTAAGCCCTGTGCCTGGAAACAAGTGACAAGTGATCTGATCACTCCAAACGCAATATTAATCAATGTTGCTATCCATTCCATGAGATTTTTTTTTTCTTTTTCTTTTTCTTTCTTTTTTTTTTCTTTTTTTTTTTTCTTTTTCTTTATTTTTGAGACAGAGTCTCACTCTGTCACCCAGGCTGGAGTGCACTGGCACGATCTCGACTCACTGCAACTTCTGCCTCTCCAGTTCAAGCGATTCTCCTGCTGCCTCAGCTTCCCAAATAGCTGGGATTACAGGTGCCCGCCATCACACCCGACTATTTTGTATTTTTAGTAGAAATGGGGTTTCGTCATGTTGTCCAGGCTGGTCTTGAACTGCTGACCTCAAGTGATCCACCCACCTCGGCCTCCCAAAGTGCCGGGATTACAGGAGTGATCCTGCCTGGCCTATTCCATGAAATTCTTAATGCAGATTTAATGAGATAAAGGTTTTCCTAAAAGTTTTCCGCCATCTTTCCGCACCGCCACAATGGTGCGCATGAATGTCCTGGCTGATGCTCTCAAGAGCACCAACAATGCCGAAAAGAGAGGCAAACTCCAGGTGCTTATTAGGCCGTGCTCCAAAGTCATCGTCTGGTTTCTCACTGGATGATGAAGCATGGTTACATTGGCGAATTTGAAATCATTGATGATCACAGAGCTGGGAAAATTGCTGTGAACCTCACAGGCAGGCTAAACAAGTGTGGAGTGATCAGCCCTAGATTTGATGTGCAACTCAAAGATCTAGAAAAATGGCAGAATAATCTGCTTCCATCCCGCCAGTTTGGTTTCATTGTACTGACAACCTCAGCTGGCATCATGGACCATGAAGAAGCAAGATGAAAACACACAGGAGGGAAAATCCTGGGATTCTTTTTCTAGGGATGTAATACATATATTTACAAATAAAATGCCTCATGGACTCTGAAAAAAAAAAAAAAGACTAAAGGGCAGAGTAATTGGTCAGTGGTTAGGCAATAGGAGTTACCTGGAGTAAGTTGCCTCATCCTAGGGATAAAGCATCTTGGCGTGTTTAAGGGGATGGGAGGGAGTGATTATTCCTGCCTGAGAAATTATGAAGATCAAATAAAGCAGTTGATTGTAACCTAGTCATTACTGGTAGTGGTAGTGATATCAATTCAGTATATTACAATCAACATTTAAAAGAATAAATTAATGAGTATCACAAAAAGCAAGGGCAAATATTGTTACATAAAATGTTTGTTTGCATTATATATAGGTTGAACCCTACAAAATTGCCATTTTATAGGTCAAGAAGGTGGGATATTGTCAATTTCTTATAATTCA